AAATACATCACTTTTCAGTGCATTGTCTCTTGGAATGCTCTGTTTTCTGAAGTTTAATACTCTGTTTTTTCGTTAACTTGCTGAGAAAGATAACATGTGTGTGTTGAAACATATGAATATATTTCTGCCGGATGAATATAAAGAATATTAACATCGGATAATCGAGTCTTATCAATTATTGTTAAAAGAGAAAACTATTGATTTTGGCTCCAAAGACCCCGTACGAGTCGTCTTATACGACATATCTCTTTACATTATTGGTTTAGCTTTTACCTTTGACAAGCGGCCAGCCACAGCAAAAGTACTCATAAACATCAAGGACTATGACAAGGACAAAAAGAAGAATTTCAAAAGAACTTTACAGCCTTTTGTTTGTTATTTTGTTAGAGTTGTGGAACCAAACCATCGAATGATTAAGATGGATATACATAAAACCACAAATTATGTATCTTATGGATTCATGATCACGTGAAAGTGAAAAGACGATTGTTTATAACAAATGATGCATTGTCTAAGTTTTCTCCATTTAGACTGGTTAATTGGTCCAAAATTGTTTCCTACTTCGTGTAACGATAAACCAAAAATACCAAATTGAGATTAGTGGGTCTAGGCTATTCACTCTGTCAAACTTTTTTTTTTTCACTTCTGCTTTAAAATAGAGAATCCATCAACCACAATAAAAAGAGAGAGTACCATATCTAGTACCATTTATTATTTGTATGCATGTAGTTAATGATCCTGTTCCGTGGTATGGTCTTTGTTTGTTTGGCATTCACTTAGCTTGCATGGCTCTTAACGTGGCTTCCGATGCGTACAACGATGCCATCAATGTCTCGCACGTAACCAACCTTCTGGCCCCATTCCTTGTCCTCCGGCTCGCTCACAGCTACCGCACCGTTCTCAACGGCCCTCTACACAAAGGCACCATCTCACTCACATCAACACAAATTGACGAGGTTTGAGTGTTTGACATAAACATGTATAGAGAGAGTATAATTGAGTAACCTTGAACGCGGCATCAACATCAGGGTAACAGAAGCAAACTTCGATGGGTGCTCTCTCGCAAGCTGAATGCGTAGACTGAACCTTCCCGGTCAGGTCATCAGTCTCATGCTGGTGAAGCGGTGTGAATGCTATCGTCGTCTGCCCACTCTCTAGCTCCCCCCACCTGCATGCATCAATTTTCTTTAGTCACGAGAATATACATTAAAGGCATAAACAACAAATTATCATTCAACATAAAATACAAATATTGGAAACGTGACAAAAAAATGAACCCATAACTCAAAATTAAAAACCCGAGAAAACGTATTTGTTATTATTAATCTATGGAAACAATATATTTCGTGACTCCATATTTTGTGGCCTTGGGACATTGCTTAGCCAGAGGATCGGACCTGATCATATGACATCACACAAATGGAATCCCAAAAAACCGAGAGCTTAATTCGCGTTTCTTGAACAACTATGATCCAATCGAAACATTTGTTACATTTCTATCTAAAAAGTTCAATATGTACAACCTGTTGGACTCGTCAAGACGACGGACGTTGTGACCAAAGGCTCTAGAGTAGAATTCTACGGATTTGGCAACGTCCTTCACGTACACAACCGTGTAAGCAAACGCCGGTCTCATCATGTTCGAAGCCATTCTTTTTCAATCCTTCTGATTCCAATCCAATCCGATCTTTGATCAAACCTCACGTCTATATTGTACAGTATATTAAGATCTCTCTTTACGGTGAGCGCAACACGTGGTAGACTGCATGCAGCTTCGTGTCTAGGCCACTTCCTACCCACCTGAGTGCATTTTCAGTTGGGCCTATTTATGTAAAGTTTTGTGTGGACATGGACTTTTATACAATTGAGCCGATTTCTGATGAAGCTTTCTTATTTTCATCTTCAGAATTACGGAGACGGATAATAAGGGCCCAATACTAGCTTTCTGGGCCCACCTTCTCTTTACGGCCTAATAGGGTTACCTACTACTTGTAAATATTGGAAAGGCGAAGGAAAGTATATGTGAAATCCACGTCATCGATCCGTGTATTACTTTTAATCAAGAAACAACCATTGGATCATACTAATCGACGGTTGATATGAAAAGCACACGGATCGTCTCTATTTGTAACTTTATATAAATAAAACTCATCGGTCTAATGGATTCGTCGATTTCTTCCATCAATCTACTCTACTGGTACCT